GATGTCATATTGTCCACTATAACCCCGTGTTTTCAGGCCCCCCGTGCGCACTGGGTCAGCCTGCGGGTGCGTCAAGAGCATGTTCTCGAATGAAGAAAGCCTGCCATCTCCGGCGTGGTCCTCACCTGGGGTGTCTGCATTGCTGGTTTTGCAATAGGAAAAGGGCTAATAAATCACCTCTTTCAGAACCCTGCCCCCTTCCCCGAAAAAAGGAAAGAAAGAGAGAGGGAGGGAGGGAAGGAGGAGAGGAGAGGGGAGGGCTGGAGAGCAGGCTCAGTAACTCGGAGGCGCGGGTCAGTCCAGTGCAATAGAAGCAATAGGCTGAGGTCGTGCAAACACTATCAAAGCTAGGTTGATCGTCCTCCCTAGTGGCCCGCCCTCTGGGGTCTGTTGAAAATGCGCCACATCAGCAACTGATGAGGAACGCAAGGAGGTTGGCCGGTATCGGGTGTCCTCAGGCACCTTCTTTGCTCCGACAGGCTCTCCCTTAGCCCAAGCCACCCTCCACCCAGCCCTTCCACGCTGACCGCCCTAGAAAGGAAGCCCTCGGGAACGGAAGGCCTCGAGGGCAGTAACATCGGTGCTAGACGTGTCCTATTTTAAAGCATCATAGACCCTCCCTTGCTACCAGCTTTTTATTTAAACTCAAGGCCGGCTGAACAAGTACTGCGGCTGCCCCAAGGACACCTGGAGTTCCGGGAAAGATTACTCAGGCAGGGGTCTAAGTCGAGATCTTTCTCGCCTGCTCCTTGCCCGGCCTTCTTATTAAACATTATTTCCTCCTCTCCCTCCCATATCTGCTCTTACACAGGGTGGGGCGTAAGTAAGTTGACAGTTGTGAGTAGGCAACACACAGAGCTTACGCCTGTATGATTACGACTTAATTACTGCATTCTTTTACAAATGAGCCACTGTTAGCCTACTTTTGCCCCACCCTGTATTCCATGGGTACCATTAATTTTATCATTTCATAAATTCTACACTCTAGTAAAAAAGTTAAACTATTTTTCTGGCCCTACGGGGCTTTCTCTTTGTCTGGGATCAAACAACTACTTTTCTTTTTTAAAATATATCTTATTGATTTTTTACAGAGAGGAGGGGAAAGGGATAGAGAGTTAGAAACATCGATCAGCTGACCAGAATCGAACCCGGGACCCTTGAGTCTGCAGGCCGACGCTCTATCCGATGAGCCAAACCGGCCAGGGCTCAAGCAACTACTTTTATAACCTCCTAAATTTTCAAGACACTGTTAATTAGTTCATACCAAATTCACATACTAACAAGTTATATTTTTACACTTCGCATTTCCTGACTTAGTCCTTTTCCTGTTAAATCACACGATTTGATTACAACCAATTCTTAACCTTTCTCTAACGTGGATTCAATTATTTACATATTACAAAAGTTACTTTCTATTTTGCTCAATTTTAAAATAATGGCTAAAGAGTATATATTGATGCAATTTTGCAATTTTACAATAAGAGTTTTTAGTTATTCCAAGAGCTTTATTTTTAAAAAAGTCAACTCTTCAGTGCTGGAAACGATTTATTATCACTATATAAAAAGTTAAGGCTTTTGTTGACATTAATTCAAGATTATTAAGACTTGCTTTAAAAAAAAATTTTTTTTTAATGGGCAGAGGACCTAAATACACACTTCTCCAAAGAGGACATACAGATGGCCAATAGACTTATGAAAAGATACTCAACATCACTAATCATCAGAGAAATGCAAATTAAAACCACAACGAGATACCACCTCACAGAAGGGCTACCATCAGTAAGTCAACAAACAACAAGTGCTGACGAGGATGCGGAGAAAAGAGAACCCTCGTGCACTGTTGGCGGGAATGCAGACGGGTGCAGCCACTGTGTAAAACAGTATGAATCTCCTCAGAAAATTAAAAATGGAACTGCCTTATGACCCAGCAATTCCACTAATTCAAGAAGAATACCTGTGCCCTGCTGTTCATTGCAGCATTATTTACAATAACCCACGTGCCCGTCAGCAGGTGAGTGGGTGAAAGCTGGGGGGCATGTACACCATGGCATACTACTTGGCCACAGAAAGAACAAAATCTTACCATTTGCACAGGATGGGTGGACCTAGAGAGTATTACGCTGAGTGAAATAAGTCAGTCCGAGAAAGACACATGCCATATGATTTCCCATATATGTGAAATCTAAAAAAATAAACCAACAAACAGAAACAGACTCATGGATACGGAGAACAGACTGATGGCTGCCAGAGGGGAGGGACTTGGGGGAATGGGTGAAGGGATTTAGAAGTGCCATTAGGTAGCTACAGAATAGTCATGAGGATGTAAAATACAGCATAGGGAATATCTATATATATCTATATCTACATCTATATATATATATATATATATATATATATATATATACACATCTATATATATAAAAGCCTAAGCAACAATTCGACCGTTCAACTGGTAGCTATGACACGCACTGACCACCAGGGGGCAGACGCTCAACGCACAGGCATGGAAACATGGAGCAGACTGATGAATCTCAGAGGGAAGGGGGGAGGGGGGAGGACGGGAAGAGATTAACCGAAGATCTTATATGCATACTAGAGGCCTGGTGCATGGGTGCGTGCACCGGTGGGGTCCCTCAGCCTGGCCTGCGGGGATCGGGCCAAAACCGGCAGTCCGACCTCCCCTGAGGGGTCCTGGATTGCGAGAGGGCGTAGGCCAGGCCGAGGGACTCCACCGGTGCATGAATCTGTGCACCGGGCCTCTATTGTAATAACTATCTATGGTGCCAGGTGGGTGCTGGAAATAGCGGGGGATCACTTTGTGAAGTACACAAGTACCTAACCACTATGCCGCACCCCTGAAACTAATACAAAATAATATTGGGGGGGAAAGACTTGCATAGGAGAAACAACACCTCAAAATCCTACACAAACGGCTCCACACACTCAGAAGACTGTCCGGATAATGAAGAAGGGAAGTCAGGTTCTAAGTCCTCCCGCCTCCCCAGCTCCCGCTGCCTCTCTCGGGGCCGAAGGAACTCGCTCTGGGTGGCTGAGATGGTTAAAGGTGCTCATTAATATTAAATCGCCTTTCAAAGATAAGCTTCATATAAATTTAAAGGTGTTAGCCCAGTAAGGAAAAATTTCATCATGTCATGGAGAGAGAGAGACAGAGACAGAGAGAATGTGAACATACCTTTCTCCCTAAAATAAACCTTGCGCCTCATCAGCAAAAAAAAAATGTTTGACCTGGTATCGGCCCTGCGCTCGCTGGTACACCAGCAGCAACCTACTTAGGCCGGGCGATACCGAACGCAGGGAAAGGCCACCGCTGGGCTCCGCTCAGAGCACAGGACTCCTCCACGGGAAGCCTCACGTTCGGATCAGCGTGTTAACAAACAGAGATGGTGACTGTGTCACGGCACAAGGTTACTTTCACTTCTGGCACTTTAATCTACCGGCACGACACACACTGTAACCGTCCAGGACGCGTGAGGGTCAGGCAGTTCGCGAGGAACCCAAAGTTATGGCTCAAATGCAAGAATTCAGATATGACTGAAATTTAAGTAAAGAATTCAGATTTGAGCATAAGGTAGAAATGTTTTATACTCAGACACACTGAGTATATTTTTTTAAAACACACACACACACACACACACACACACACACAACCCTAGCCAGTTTGGCTCACTGGATAGAGCCTCCGCCTGCGGACCAAAGGGCCCCGGGTTAGATTCCGGTCAAGGGCACATACCTCAGTTGCAGGCTCCTCCCCGGCCCTGGCCCTGGTCTGGGCTCGTGCAGAAGGCAACCAATCCATGCGTTTCTCTCACATCGATATTTCTCTCTGTCTTTCCCTCTCTCTTCCCCTCTCCCTAAAAATCCATGGAGAAATATCCTCGGGTGAGGATTACACACACACACACACACACACACACACACACACACACACACGAGGGCAGAAGCCTGTGTCATGAAGCCAGGCGCAGGAGTGGCCCCCATCCCGGGCTGTGAAACGGAGCCGGGTACAGAGGAACCCTGGATTGTGAGACCCCCAATGACATCCGTGACAACCACACACTCAAGAGGACAGTGGGCCAGGCTCCCCGGCCAAGCGCTTAGAGAGCGAGTCCATTTGAAATAACTTTCAGCAGAATTTTCGGCTTCTTACCTTGAGCTCGGGGCTAGCGCACCTCATCGTCTGTCCCCATCGGCCACCTCCCTGAGTGTCACTCGGACACAACGCCTCCCTGCTTGCTTCCCGGAGTGACCGCTGCTGCGCCCACCCCACGGACCCTCAGGCCTCTCCTGCCAGCTGGAGGGGTCGCAGTTCAACGCCACCCTCCCCTCGGGCCTGCCCGAGGGCAGGAGAGAGGGATGGGGGCTGGCTCCTGCCAGCTACAAGGTTGCAACTTTCTCACCTAGAAACCCGGGATGATGAACTCGCTGTGACTCTCCTCCATCACCTCTGCCTTCCCCCACGCGGTTGCCTCTCTCCTACACGGGCCACCCTCCAAGCACACTGTCCCCTGCTCCCCTGGTCACCGCCACGGCACGCGCGCCCAGTCCTGCTCGCTCTCCACCGGGGCACCGCCATCCTGCTTCCCCGTGGGGCAGTGAGTGCCACGCACTGGACACAGACACCCGGGTTTTCGGCCCCGTCTACACCCGTGCCCACTCGCCCTGGAAGTGGCTTCAGGGCTCCGGATCGCTGGCCACTGGGCTCGCACGCCCCGGGTCTGGGTGCCGCTGGGGCAGGGCGCAGGGCCAAGCAGGCACGCGCACCCGTCGGTGCCCCCCCTCCCCGGCCCGGGCGGCCCCGGCACGGGCACGGGCCGGGTGGGGGCTGGGTGGGCACGCCGGGGAGGGGCGGCCGGTGCCAGGCGGCCGGCGGACAATCCCAGGCGAGTCGCCCCCTCCCTGCAGGGCAGCCCCCGCCCCAGCCGGCGCCCTGGGTCCCGGCCCGTAGGGGGCGGCGAGGGCGCGGCCGGCAGGCCCGGTACCTGGTCGATGGGCAGCTGCACGGCGTCGCTGAGGGGCTGCAGGAGGGTGGAGCCCGTGGTGCTGGTGCTGGTGGTGGCCATGCCGGCCCGGCCCCGCGCCCGCCGCGCTCGGCCGCCCGCGCTCTGCCCGGCGACGCCGAGGATGGGGATGCAGCCGGCGAGCCTGCCCCCTGGCCGCCCGCGGTCGGGGCGGCGCGGGGCGGGGCCGGGGCGGGGCCGGGGGCGGCGACCGGCTGGGCCCTCCCCCCGCGCCGCGCCGCGTCCCCGGCCGCCCGCGCGCCCCGCCCCGACGCCCCGCCGCCGCCGCGCCCCCGCCCCACCTCGCGCGCCCTCGCGCCAGACAGCCCCGCGGCCCAATCGGGGCGCAGCGCCCCGACAACGGCGGCCAATCAGAGGGCGCCGGCCCGCCGCGCTCGCTCCCGCCGCCCGGGCCGAGGGGCAGGGGGCGGACCAGCTGGGGGTGGGAGGGCGGCTCTCGGGGCCGCTGCCCGGGTGGGGTGCCTGCGGCTCTCCCCCCACCCCGACCCCGTGTCTCCTCCCCGGAGGTCCGCGCACCCTCACCTCTCCCGGAGGGACGGGGCCGACAAAGGAGCGGGTGGCCGCCAGACAAAGGGCCGACGTGCGGGCCGCCGTCTACCAGCTCTGGGGGGCTGGGGGCAGCCTGGGGCGCCTTCTTCCAGCTCTGGGGGGCTGGGGCAGCCTGGGGCGCCGTCTACCAGCTCTGGGGGGAGGCCCCTTTGCGGACGCGGTGCAGGAGCCCACACTTGGGCCCGCTCAGCCGCGTGCGCCTCCCGCTCACCTTCGCGCCCCATGGCTCCAGGGGCGGGAAGCTCAGGTGGGGGCACCCCCTCACCTGTCCTGGCGGGACCCACTGCCCGCGTGCAGGGACCGCCTTCCGCAGGAAGGAGCGCGGTGTCTCAGCATCCATTCACCCCAGCGTCCATCCCGGTCCCCCACGTGGGCTGCATTCGCACACCCCTGTCTGCGGGTGGCCCTGTGTTGTAATGTGCCCCGCGAATCACACAAGGACGCCTCAAGAAGTCGAATTAAAGTCACATTTATTGCAAATCTGGGACTATGGGGGCATTTCGCTCTCCCAGATCTCATCGTGCCCTCCCAGCCCCAACACCGGATTTGTATAGGCAAAGATCACAAAGGTATTGATTACATCCCAAGGTTTGGAATGAGGAACCTGGTTTGCAAAAAGCAGTTTACAGAAGCAGAAGCAGCATGTTATCTAAATTAGTTTTGGGGTCTCCGGATCCCTGAGTCAACAGGGACACGTTAACTGGAGCCCTCTGACCTTGGGATAAATGTGCTGTCGTTCCCAGGTGAAGGACAATGTGCTTCCTAAGACCAGTGTGGCCACAACCCATGGGAAATTCACAGTACAATCAATAGGGTATTCAATCGAATGGGGTGATTTATATAATTCAGAAAATCAAAATAACTTTTCTATTGTTAAACAAAGCAAATAAGTACAGAAGCCAAACAGCAGGGTTAAAGGTAAACTATAGTTTCTACCTGAGATGATTGCTGCCGTACTTCACGTGTGCACCCCTGTCTGCGGGCGGCCGTGTGCTTCCGTGTCTGACCTCCCTGCCCAGACTTAAGCCATTCGAGTCCTGGAAAATGCAAGTGCCCACTTCTGTTTGGAAGATTTCGGAGGAGGAGGGAGCTGGGGGGGGGGGGGGAGCTGGGGGTGCGCCTTGGGGCATTCTGGACACTCAGGGTTAACAGTCTGAACTTTCTGTAGGAATCAGTAATGAATGGGAGTTTAACCACTAGCTTTAGTGCTTTCAGGCTGTTTCAAAGGCATATCAACACGTAACCCCACCACCTCCGGCAGATAGCTCTGCCTAGTGTGACCACCCGGACCTAGCAAAGCGATGGAGGCACAGAAACGTCGAGTAACTTGCCAGAGAGAGCGCAGCTAACAAACAGCAGAGAGAGGGCCACAGCCCGAGGACTCTGCCTGCAGGTTAAGCTCCTTCCTCAAGCTAAACCCTGTCCGAAAGCCTCATCAGCGGCCAGGTGCCCCGCGGCCAGTTGGTCCTGCGCAGGCCCGGGCGGAGCCACAGCACAGGCGGGAAGACCGGAGCTGCAGCGCCTCATCTCTGGGCCTTTCCGTCCCTCTGAAGAGGAGGCGGTGAGTTTGTCAGTCCAGCTCTTCCTGCCTGGCACTCTGATCCGTTGGGTAACTTACCGCCTCGTCCGGACCCTCGCTGGGAAAGGGCAGGAGGCAAACCTGCACACCAGAGCCTCATTCTCCGGGGCCGTGCTCCGCTAAGAGTTGCGGTTGATTTTACTATTTGAGCATAATAATAGCATAAATTATATATTTCATAAATTACAATTCAGAAGAGAGCTCAGAACCGTGCATGGTAAGGCTTAAAATCTATTCATTACCACCCAAGAAATACAATGTAATTCTGAAAACGGAAACTACTTTTCTCAGATTAAAAATACTACATCATGTCGTGTTCGATGAAGAAATGGAGACCCATATTTTAAGCTAATAAGTCAGGGGTGATAGCGTCAGTGTGACGCAGGCCTTCGGTCTAGTATCTGCTCATTAGACCAGAAGCTCTTAAACTGTGATGAAGGGAGAAAGAATTGAACTAATTATACACAATGCCTCCCTGTGCTATTTCAGATGACATCCACCCTATAAAGGTGACTCTCACATTCTGAGTTCTTTCAAAGCAAACATGACTACTTGGTATATTCAAGGACTGTGAGGGGTTCTATAAAGAATAAATGATGTTTATCATCAAAAGAAGAAACAGTCACACAAACAAGACAGAGAAGGTAAAGTGTTATCAGACTAGTATCGACTGGGCCCGTCCAGTATGGCTCAGTGGTTGAGCATCAACTTATGAACCAGGAGGTCACAGTTCGATTCCTGGTCAGGGCATGTGCTTGGGTTATGGGCTGGATCCCCAGTAGGGGACATGCAGGAGGCAGCCAATCAATGATTCTCTTTCATCATTGATGTTTCTATCTCTCTCCCTCTCTAAAGTCAATAAAAATATATTTTTTAAGAAAAATACCTATCGGGGTGATCACTTTGTAAGGTAATTAAATGTCTAATCACGGTGTTGTACACCTGAAACTGATATGATATTGTATGTCACCTGTAATTAGAAAATAAATGTTTGAAAAAAGAAAAGTACGAAATGAGGTCTTTTATTAAATGTTAAAATCGATAGAACATGTCCAAGAGAAAGAAATTTGTCTGGAAGTCAAAAGGCCTGAATTTTAGTCCTGACTTTTCCACTAAATAGCTGTGAACTTGAGAAATCTGTTAACTTTTCTGTGCCTTAAGCATCTTGTTGTCAAGTACGAATAGTGATAACTGTCCAACCTCACAGGAGTATTGATTATCAGCATGCAATTAATAATAACTAAGTTGTTTTAAAGTATATTAGTAATATTATATTAGAAATAGCTAGTAGAAAAGGGATTTTTGATATAGCAACCACATTTTAATAATTTACTAACTTGGGCCAAATCCTAAGGGCATTGAGCAGAGTTCACGTATATAAAATGACTGTCTTCCAGCGTTCTCATCCTCATGGCTCTCCCGTCCTAAAATGGCTGTAGTAATTAAAGATCGCTAACATGAAAATGTCCCTTCCCAACTTATTTTTAACTTTGAATAAACCACTCAGAAGAAATGAATACTCTGCCAAGTTGCTTTTGTTTCATAAAATGGTATGTGTCATGAAATTAGTGTTCCCAGGCAATGATTTTGCCTTTTGTATGCGCTTGTATCCTGGAACGACTTTGACAATGAAGGGCATTGAACCATCCTATGTAATAAAAACCTAATATGCAATAGACCGAAAGGTGGAACGACCAGCGGAACAACCGGTCGCTATGATGCGCACTGACCACCAGGGGGCAGACGCTTAATGCAGGAGCTGCCCCTAACTGTTGAGTGTCTGACCCCCAAGAGGGAGGGGACCGGCGTGGCAGCGATCGGGGGGCGGGGCTGGCCAGCAGGCGGCACCAGGCTGTTAACCAAAGTGGGTGCCAGTGGGGGGGGGCCCCAATCACCCCGCCCACCAGTTGCCCCACAGATGGCCCTGATCGCTGGCCAGGCCTAGGGACCTACCCTATATATTAGGAACAGTCTCTTAGATTTAGAAATTAAAACCTGGCAAGGCTACTCTAACACTGAAATAACAGGATGACGCACCGATGACATGCACGGACTCGGGCTTGCACATTTTGTGGTCAGCCCTGATTCTGACACTTATAACGTGTGACAAAGCCAATTACTTAACTTCTCTCTGCTTCAGTTTTTCCACCCATAAGATGGGGGAAATGGTACTACTGCTCAGAAGGATCATGTTATGTACTACTTTTCATAATCAGGGCAAAAAAATGTAGCTGCCCATACAACAGCAAGATGCCTTTCACCTGTATGAAAAGAATGGTCACTGGTGCATGCAGCGTCCCGGATTGCGAGAGGGATGTCCGACTACCGGTTTAGGCCCGACATCCCCCAAGGGGTCCCGGATTGCGAGAGGGCACAGACCGGGCTGAGGGACCCCCATCCCCGTACACGAATTTTGTGCACCAGCCTCTGGTCCACATAATAAAAGCCCCAGGCGGCTGGCTGTCATCGTTGAGCACTTACAGCCTAACTCTAACCTGAGATCAGACACTGAAATTCAGAAAGTCGCCCTTTAGGGCCTGACACAGCTCCACGGGGGCATCCCAAAGTAGACGGAACAAGACAGCGCGAACACAGGAGGCAGCAGCAGACCCGCTCGGAAGCCCTGCCTCTGCTCCTGCAGGGCAACAGCACAGCGGTTTATCCTCCTTGTCCATACATCAGGAAACTCGAAGTAAATTCAGTGGTCCCATCTTCCTAAAATTTTGATTCTCCCAAATTTCTAGAACTTTCCTCTCTTCCTGAACCCACATTCGGCCTGGGTTTATTTGTCAAAGATGCAAACGAAACTCATGCTGACTTATCGGTTCGAGAACCACATTGTCTTCCGATTGCTCCGCTGGCTTCAGGGCTGCCTCCAGGGCTGCCTCTAACTTGCTGCCTCTCTCCTCGTCCT